TCATCCCCTCTGTCTCCCCCTTTAAATCTCATTGTTCTGGTTAAGCTGTCAGGAAAATAAGAACAGTAACATGTAATGGACTGAATGTGTTTTTTTTTCTTAATTGAAGAGAATGGTCTCCTTAGTCCCAGTAGAACTTGGCTGCAATCTGAGGTTTTGATGCAACTTTCATTATTTCCCAATACCTTCCATGATCAATTACACTTGCAGCCTATAAGAAGTTCAAGTTAAGCATCTTTTTAATCAGGTGGATGACTTTTAGCTATTAGTCAAAGCATAAATCCAATTTTTAGTTGCTATTTGGCATTCTTTTTAACTATGTGTTGCTTAATCAGAGTTGTTAGAACTAGTTGCAATTTTGTTTATCAAAGTAAACATTTCCAAAACACTAAAACTTTCATGGAGCACATTGCTTTGCTGTCATTTCCAGTGGGGTAGGTGCTGAATCTCAGAGCAGAAACTCCAGTCAGACAGGATAAAATAAGTAAGAAAACTTGGAAATTTTGGACCTGAAAATGCATATTTGCAGGCAATTTCATGTGTAATTTTACAAGATTGTGCTTTGCTAAAGCGAAAATAAATATTTGGTCCTCAAACACTTCAAAACCTCATGAAATGGGAATTTGTTCTTCAGATAATTCTGGTTCTGACAATACTCCTTCTGTTTTGTTCAACATTGTTGAATGCTTTGTTCCACTCTGTTCATTTTGCAAATACTTTGACACCACATTTAGTGTTCCTGAACAGTTTGGATTGTGTGCAACACACAGCACGTTGCCTTCGAGAGCATGGGATCTAATAAAACTTGTGACGGTCTTTTTTCCACTCCTGGAATTTTCTCTTCTCTTTTTCCAGATTCAGCATACACACATCATTACTGTTTTTTACTCACTTTCAGCTTTGTATTATTACCAGTGAATGAAGCACATGAACTGAACTCATCTGAGAGTTTAAGAACAAATGTATTCAAATTCCAAGTATCTCCTAGGGTAAAACCTCTGAGTGAAGAGATTTTTTAAGAGTAAAATTGCCTTGAAGGATTAGTGTAATATAAAATAACGAAAAATTGCAATTTTTTACTCACTTTCAGCTTTGTATTATTACCAGTGAATGAAGCACATGAACTGAACTCATCCGAGAGTTTAAGAATAAATGTATTCAAATTCCAAGTATCATCTAGGGTAAAACCTCTGAGTAAAGAGATTTTTTAAGAGTACAATTGCCTTGAAGGGTTAGTGTAATATAAAATAACTGAAAAATTGCAAGATAACAAGCTATTTTTTATATTTACAAACAATACTTCAAGAAATAATGGGCTTAAATTTCAGCAGGGAAAATTCTAGACTTCAGGGGAAAAAAAAACCATGTGGTTAGTTAAGCACTAGAACAGGAGAACTGTGGAAGCTCCATCATTTAAATATTTAACAATGTGAATGGACAGGCATCTGTCAGGAATGCTTTGAGTAAATGAAATGCTCTTGTCAGGCAAAGAGATGGATTTGATTGCCTCTCAAAATCCCCCTTTACTGTCTGTGTATCATTTTCTACTGAAGATGCCCACTGTCGGGAGTTACCTAACCTCTGATTGGTTCAGACAGGACTATAAAGAATGTTTTGTCCTCAGTGCTGACATGCTGCTTGTAGATATTGAGGTGTTTCCTTTTAGGGGAGTACAAGGTGATGTTCTCATGGTAACATGACCCCAAAGAAAGCAAGCAAACGCCTGCAGTAGTTGACCCTCTACTATTTATTTCTGTATAGTCTCTCCAGGTGTAGCTTCACATAGTCAGATACAGACTGCTGATTTGGGGTTAACAAGAACATGGACTGTTGTGGATATCTGGAAAAAAAAGAGTTAATTTCTCAGGAAGCTAACTAGGGGAAGAAAGTATTCTTTCTGCTGGTATTATCCAACCAGCTAAAGATTGAGGAACTGGTACCATGATGACTTTGATGGAAGCTGAAGCTGAATTTTTTGGTTAAATCTTCCAAGTGTTTCTCCTTGCTTACCAACATCTTTCTAGCATTGTCCAGATACATTCAGCAGAAAATTTCCTGAAGTCAAGTTGTCATTTCAGTAATGATAGTAGTTGCAGCTGTTGAGAGAGATGAGTGTCACTAGCATGTTGTTAAATCTATCTGAACCCTTTGTGCATTGTGCATCATTTTTACTTACTGCTGACTCAGAGAAATACTGAAAAGCAAATTACTTTGGATAGATATCTCTATAGCCTGAAAATAAAAGAAAAAGGGAAATAGTAGTACTGCTGAGGAGAAGGGCTGTGTGTACTGTAAGATGAAGCTATTACCGTCAGATCACCTTCCTCTTCTTCTTTGTCATAATGCCTGACATTGCAAAGTCTCCTGAGATGCACAGCCGTACAGGAGCAGAGATCTTACCCCTGCCTATAGGAGACGTTGTAACCTTCATATACAGCACCGTGGTTATGCCACATGCAGTTGGAGCTCAGTGCTTACTAGTCACTTAGCTGTTTATTCTCAGCCCTTGCTCCCATCTCCCCTGGAAGCAGTTCTAACTGTAGATGGATATGGGTAACTTAGATGGGAAGCCACAAGCAGCCAGATGCAGTACCGCCCCATGCCTCCCATGTCCCTGAGTGGCTCCAACTACAGATGTGCTAAAGCAGTGCTAACTGGACGAGACTAAGAAGTTCCTTGGACCTTTGCACTTTTTCAATCACTGATCTTAATCACTGATTGCTGCAAGCAAAGAAGCAATTAAATATGGAAAAAGATGATTCAGGGCCCCTCAGTTCTATCTGATACTGAGCACCCCTGCACGTTGTTATCTCCCTCCCAGCTGGTCCTAAGCCTGTGGCAGTTAAGGGCACTCAGCACCTTGCAGGATCAACCTATGGAGTGAAAAAAAAAGAACAAATCAACTCTTCTAACCAATAAGAGAAAGAAAAAGTGGTTGTATTATGAATACTGATTGAATAACTAGACTAAGAATAACTGAGGGCAAGACCAGAGGGATGAGGGAGCTTTCATTTCTCTGGGGACAGCTGCAGTAGCACAGATTTTATTCACAGCCTCCTGCCAGAAAAAAAAAAAAAAAATCTATTGACTATTGGTGTCAGTTTCTAGTGGACCACAGACTGCTCTGATAAGTGCAGCTGCAATAAGGGTTGTGAGAAATCCACATGTTTGGAATGTACCAAATGCCAAATAGTAGAGTTGTTTTTCCCCGGCTAACAATTATGGATGCGTGTCAGTGTGAGACAGGAGCTTGAAAGCAGTTGTAGTAGCTACAAGATGAGTGGGAGAGATGAGAACTTAATACTGCCACTAAAAAGCTGCTGACAACTCAGAGAAGAAGAGAGAAACAACACTGTGGGTGTCATGTTTTTAGTCTTATGACACTTTTTCTTTCATCATTTAACAGCATTTACAGAAAGATATTTGGGCTGGGCTTTTAAGATTTCTCTCCTTACTATTTATTCTACACTTTTATCCTTCTCTGTTAGCTATATTAAAGTCATCTTCGTAACAAGTACTCATGATGTCCAGAGGAAACAACTACAATTGCAGCTAGGAATTAACAACAGAAGTAATAAAATCTTGAGACCAGATCTCACAGTTTTCATGTGGATGATATGACAATAATACATCAGGAAAAGAAAAATCAAGAAATAGAAAGACAGTGACGTAAAACATAGGTGTAAAGCAA